TTACATAAATTCTCATATATGTATTTTGTTTAAACAAAATAATTTTCTAGTGAAATAATTTTAAAATTTTAAATGAAATAATTAAGTATAAAAAGAAGAAAATTTTATATTGATATGCTTGAAATTCGAAACTTTAATAAATTTCTTAAAATGCCCTTCTATGAAGAAAATCGGTAAAAATTGATTTCTGTTGATTCTGTTAATGTGTTAATGTGTAATAATAAATGTATGTGTAAATAATTAAGTAATATTAGTTCATGCATAAGTACAATATATAAGATAAAAAATAAAATAAAAATTTTAAAATGACCCATTAAAAAATTTATGCATTTGTACAAATTGCAGAATTATTGGAAAATTAATAATTTAAGAAACTAAAATTTTAAGAGTGTATATGAGAAAATAGAGAAATATTTATGATATTTATGTTGCAAAATTAATTACTTATTTAAAATTATATAAGTCAATGAAAGGAATTAGGGTTAATCACTAGGTTATATAAAGGAAATTTAATCTTTTATATAAGATATTTGTAATTATATGCGAAAATAGTTCATTGGGTTAAGTTTATAATAGATTTTTAATTTGTAGGGTTGAAAATATTTGTTCTTTTAATTTCACACATGTATTCAATTTAATGATCTAATGATTTGAAATCAAATATTAATTTAAATGAACATTAAAATTTTAGGAAAAATTTGTATTTGTTTAATTAAATTAATAGTAAAAAAATTAGTTATTTTAAAAAATTTTATTAGAATTAAAATTAGAAAATATTGAATATAGAATATTTTATTAGAAATAAAGCATAAATTTAGGGGAAATTTGTGAATGTATCGTACATATTTTAATTTTTTGGTAATATTGGAAACTTAAAATATTCACAATAAAACTAAGTATATATATATTTTAAATATCCTTAGAATAACAACATATTGTATTGCGAAAATTAAGGAGAATGGAAATAATCGGATTTCTTTCATATTTTTAAAACTATTAGTCTACCATATTATTATCAATGGAAATATTATATTTATGAATTTCCATATAATAGAATTTTTTTAAAAAAATACGGTCTAATATATTTAAATACCCAAAATGGATCAACTGCATATATTTAGTTATTTTTGTTATTGATAAACTTTCCATACAAACAATTTATAAAATAAAATGTTTATATTGAGGTTTTTTTTTTATAATTTACTGTGATATACTGCGGTTATAAGTACTTAAGGACGCAAAAATTTTTATACAAGCAATAAAATTAATAAAAAATTGCGATTGCCATGTAAATTTTCTTCAATTTCAAATTTTATTGATGCTTTTCTCATTATTCTTTTTTATAAATCAAAAGAGTTTAAAATATTTTTCAAAATTAAATATTTTTTGCCTAAAGCTACTCAAGAAATAATAAATAATAAATATTTTACTTTAATTGCATTTTAAATTACATAAAAATTTAATTTATTTTTTTTCTATTTTTTTTTTATGATTTCATTGCATTTTTGAACGATTATATAAACTGTAAAGTACTTTTAAATTACACAGTATATTGTCGGAGCATAAATATATACATGTATATGCAATGTATGTATAGGAGAAACTTGAAGTTCATGTACATAATATAAATATGGAAAAAGGAAATACTTGTGATGTCGGTGATGGCGAATTTAAGATTTTTAATTGCATTTAAATATTATTAATTGAAAAGAATCTTTTCAGTTTATAATTATGGACTAGAATAATTCGATGATATAACGTAAGTATATATATATAGTATATATATATACTATATTATATATATATATAGTATATATACTGTATATATATATATACTATATATATATATACTATATATATATATATATGTAGTATATATACATATATATATAGTATATATATATATATAAATATAAAGTACATGTGCGTTAAAATTAATTTAAAAGTAACAATTCTTTTTCTCATTGTTTTGTTTTAATACTCAAATATGTAAATTTCTTCTCTAAAATTATTTTTTACTTTTGCAACAAATTTTCAGTTTTGATTATTTTTTGAATTTCAACTTAAAATGATTATATTAAAAAAATTAAAATAAAAATCGTGAAAAAGAAATTATTTATGTATGTTAAAATAACATCCTTTTTAAAATATAAATGAATAAATCTCAAAATGCAACCAACACGTGCAATACAAAAAAAAATCTTAAAAAATTACGTTGTTCTTCTTTAAACACAAGCATTTAAAATCTATTTGAGAATTTCATTTGAAAATTATATTGTTCGCCTCTTCATGAATTTTAAAATTTTGTTCTTTTTTTTTAATTTGTAAATTCATGAAAATTTGAAAATCATTTTATTTTCTTATAGCAATTACTCATTTGTTTCTATCAAATTATTTATATTTATATAGAAATTATTAGTGAATAGAATATTAGAGAATTTGTTGAATCTCTGAGTTAATAAGGTAGTTTTAGCATGTTGTTTTTAAGAGAAGCAATACTTTTAAAATGCCAACGTGGAAAAACGAGAACACAAGTTGAAAAATGCGAATCGCGAAAATGTTTTTTAATTATCTGCAGCACATTATACCAATACCATTAATAAGAATTAAAGAACTATAAAAATCCATCGTATAACATTGAAACTATTATTTTTTTAAGTTGAATTTACCTAATTCAATGTGCAATGTAATTATCTACATATATTAATTAAATTAATAAAAATATAAGGTTTATATTATCAGTAATGGCATAAATTAATTAGGAAATTTCCATTTAGAAAGATTTTAATTACGATATCATTTAATTATACCCTTAGGTATACTAAAAATATTCAATAAGAATATTGTTTTTTATTCATAATTTATTAATTAATTTCCGTTTAAGATGACCAAATATATTGTAAAAAATCAGTGAATACGGTATTTTTAAAAATTTTTATTTAGCAATTTAAGAATTTTGTTTGATTTATACTTAAGGCCTCTTATATACTTTTGCTGTACATTTGTTAGCTTTTCTTAAATAAATTTTACATAATTATAATTCCTTCATATTTGTTGCAGTCTGGATTTTTATTTATTATAAATATTTTCTAAAAGTAAGTTTAAAATAAATATTTAAAATAAATAACATACAATGCTTGAAAAATTGCCGGAATCGGTTTTGTAATTTTTGATATAAGATGTAGATATGTTTTGCGATATGGTGAATTTTTGTAAAACAAATTTAAGAACTGTTAAACAAAAGAAGTTTTTCATTGTAATAATTTTTGAAAAATTTATAAATTTTTTTAATTTTACTTTACTTTAGAATATTGTATTCGAACATACAACACACTTCAGAAAAAATCGTTTGATGGAAAAATTAAGGAAAAATATTTTTCTTAAATATTTTGAATTTGTTTTAGTACTCCACAATTAAATACTTAGATCTATAGAAAGCAAAAAATAAAGTATTACAGATTCTTTCAAAATAGTTTTTTTCAAATTTATCAAAATTTTTTCTTCCATTTTTCTATTCGAGTAGTGAAATTAAAGTAAGAAAACTAATTCTTATATTAAAAAAAAATCCAATTTCAAATTCAAAGGTCAACAGGAATTTCTTGGTGTCATAATAGCTAGTTATATTCAAATTTTGTTTAAGGGAGTATAGTGACTGGGAAATTATTACGACAATATTTGATTATGCTTAAATTACTTTGGTTACTACTGCGGTCGAATTGCCTGAGAGCAAATTAAGTAAGGATACCAACATTCCAGTAGCAGTATAGGAAGTCGTATCACAAAACTCTTGAAAAAATAGGGTATATAGTAGACTTAATACGGTTAAGTTTTCCTCGTTTTCATTTTATATTGAATTTGAATTAATATCAAAGTTATAATATTTTTTTATGAAATTAAAATTTTTCTCTACCTTTTTTACTTGGCTATCTTTGTTTTAATAATTTTTAGGTAAAATTTTTCCCGAGCTGTGTTCAAATCTTTATATAACATTTTAAAAGTTATCAAATAACAATCCTCAATTAAGAATAAAATATTAAATTTTGGTAATCAAATTTTACATTTTTCGAAAATTAATTTTTTTTTCCATTTATAATCAGCTAATTTGTGTTTGTTTTTAAAGATTGAAGTAGCTTAAAAAAATTTTTTTTTCTTTACAAAAAGGAAATAAAAAACGTACATAATGTCCTTTTAAAGGTGAAATTGAATAAAATGGTCACCACTTTATATAATTTTCTTTTGAATAATTGATTATTATGTGAGATGAATTCCAATACGCAAAAAAAAATAATATTATGTAAATATACTCTAATTAAATTAAAATAATAATGATATTTAATCAAGTGAAATTAATAATCGATGTTGAATTAGAAAAAAAAATGATAATTATAAAAGTAAAATAAAAAAAAGGACACTATAATTAATTTGATTTTATAATTTTAGTCATTAATTTTATTTTTTTGAGAAGAAGTAGAGGGTAATAGGAGGCAATTATATAGGCAATAAAATGATTTCCAATCGAATTTTCCTGAAATTCTCTTGCTTGTTTCAAAATCCTTTGATTTTAATGCTTTATGTAAATTTATATTTGTTTTTAATTTTTCTTTGTAATTTACGCTATCAAATGCGTAAATTTGAATGATTTTTAATTTCTGTTCTCATGGTTTTTTACTCATATATTTTTTTATTATTTCAATATTTTGTTATATGTAAAATGTACGTGTATGTATATATATATATATATAAATATATGTATAATATACACGAGGTTCTTAAAATTTAATTAGCTAATTACATACTTAATACTAAAAAATATAATATAAATTAATTTTCTGTTTTTTGTTTTTTTTTGACATAATTTTCATTTATTCTAATTAAAGGTTTTTTTTTTATTTTCTCTATAGTTCAGTTTGTTTTTTTTCTCGTTTTTTAATGGTTTTTTTTATACATAAAAAAGTTTGTTTTTTCTTTTTTTACACAATTTTTTTATTAGAAAATTTTTTTTTATGTTTTAATTAATTTTTCTTTTTTTAATTTTAATACATTTTAGTTTACTATTATCCTTATAATTAAAACTTTATTAATTTTCTATATATTTCTATATATGTATATATATATATTTTTTTTATAAATTAATTTATAATTTAGATATTTTTTTAAGACTTTTTTTATATATATATATTTATTTTATATTTTTATATACAACTTTCCTGTATTCGGTTCGATGTTGTTACAACTTCGGGTCGAAACCGGTATTCACTTAATGATGATGTTACCGATTGATTATTTGGATTAAGTAAACTAACTTCCATTGGTTGGGGCTGAGGTGGCTGACTATTTTGATATTGTGAATTTATTGATGGACTACATGTAGTTATACCACGATTATTTTTTGTTAATGTTGCATAACTCTGTAAATTAAATAATCAAATAAATTAAATTGATTTTTTATAATGTAATTTTTTTGATTTTTATATATGAAGAATAAGGAATATACGTAACGTACATAAGTATAATGTAGTAATTAAGTAAAGTATTCAAAATTAAATATTTAAATTAATTAACTAAAGTATTTATTAGAAAATTTACGTATTAAAATGTGAGGGTATTATTTTTATTAAGTTTTTATATGGTTTTATGTATTTGAATATCAGTTATTCTTGATTAAGATGGTAATGTAATTAATCACTTTGTCGGGAAATTGTAGTATGTGACATGAACATTACTAAATTGTATAATATTATATAAGTATGATTTTGGTCATAATCAAAGTTTGAGTTGATTTACCGATTTCTGACTGTCCAAGTAGTCAAGAATTAGCCAGTCATCATTTACAATTTCATAATAACTTTTATAGCATATTACAAACCATAAAGACTGTAAATCGTAAAACTCATAAAAAATGGGGGATCAATACAAAAGTTATCGACTTTTTCAATATTTAAAATTAGCAACTATTTTCGTAAAAACAACGCTAGTTTGAATGAGTGAGGTTTTACTAGTATAGCTATCACTAGATTTTGAAATGATTTCTATTCATCAAAAAAAAAAAATTTCGTACTCTTTTAATTTTTCGTTTTAATCAGATTTGAGATTTAGCATATATTCGTATTCTTAATAAGATCTAAATCACTACTGTGAAAAAAAATTGTTGGTTTAGATTGCTGAGTTTAACTCAAGCTCCAGGTTTACAATTAACAATCTTAAGTCATAAATTTCTTAATTTAAACCAAAAATTAAGCAGAATTTACTTAAGCAGAATATTTAACGTATGTTAATATTTACGATTCATCTTAAACCCCACTCTTTGGACTAATACTCAATGCCTGAATTTAAACAATTTTTATATATATAATATAGTCTGCCTATCTTATTTACAATATTCAATTGCAGGGATGTAAAACATAGTGTTTATTACATTTTATCTTAGTTAGTTGAAAATTGCTTGTAATTTTATTATTTTATTTTTTATTAATAGAAATTTTCTTATTTTCTTAATAAACAAAGAAGTATTTACCAAAGTAAAATGAAAAAAATAAAAAATTTCGAACGTGCGAAAAAAAATATGGTAAAATGTCTGGGCTGATGAAAACATGGCAATTAATATTTCCAGGACGTTATTTTCGTGTTACGTTTTTTTTAACGTTAATGTTTGAATTTTATCATATTCTCTCTTATGTTCTTATGTTTCTTTCTTACTTTTTTTTGCAACTTTTTATTTTATTCTCGCAATGTACATGCATAAAAAGATATATTTGTCATCAGCCAGCCCAAAATCTTTTTGTTTTTCTTCTATCTTATTTAGAGATTCTGATGAGGAAAAATGTACCTATACACTCTTCAATAAAAATAAATACTTTAGACTATGATAACATATTTTGGTTTTTTTTTACAATAAAACTGAAGATAGAATCAAGAAATAACGCAAATTTAAGATTTAAATACTTACTGGCCTATTGGGTGGTTAAACTAAAAAAAAAATAAAAAATTATAATATCGGAATAAGCTTTTTCTTTAAAAAAAATTTGATGTTTTTTAAGGATATGAAGACAAAAAGCGTGAATTTGAAAAATGTATTTTCAATGTTGGGCTTAGAATTTTATTGTGGAATAGGCAACAATTCTCGCTAATATTTCGTATGGTTACACAAATAATATTGCCGATTGAACCGAAAATCACTCTAAAATGTTATTGTTTTTAGGTTTATCTATTTTTAGAGCTAAATTACAATTAGCTCTAATTTACAAATTTAATTTACAAATAATCGGAAGAACTGTAATATTAATAAAACAACATAAGAACGTTAACAGATCCGGTTGTAAAAACAATATAATTTATATAAGGTCAACATAACGTTAATTATATTATACTATATAAAGTACGCGTGTCCTTAATATTAACTTGAAAAAAAAAATTTGAAATCAAGTACTAAATATTGATTCACTTACAACATCAATCACAATGTTAAGAATATAGTTAACGTATCATAATATTAACTTAGGCGGAAAATTACAAAAATTCTAAACTAAACGAAGCATTCTTTATATCCTAGTAAAATTATTTATTTTATTTTACACTAAATAAATTACCGCAGCACTGATAGAAATGTTGAACGTACCTACATATCTATGTATATCAGACAATAAAATTAAGGAAGAGAAAAATGAAATATCACGACAAAAAGACTGATTTGTTATAGAGATAAAATTGTGTGAGCTTCATCCAATTGTTGAGGTTAAGAAAGGAACAAAAAAAAATGAAAAGAAAAAAAGAAACGAGGGAGCGAAACAAGATTAAGATTTATTTCAGAATTTTTCAAGAATAACTTCATAACGAAATTACAGCCTCAACAAAAAAAAAGTTCTATTATGCAAGAACCTCATCAAAAAAAAAAATTCAAAAAGGAAGGTGAAATTGTAAAAAAAAAATTTAGCATAACAAAACAAAAAAAAAAATTTTTTTTTTAGTGTCCTGGACAATTTTAGGGTTTTTTGTTTTAAATATTATAAAATCTAAGTTAAAATATTGTACCTAGAATCACAAGCATTGAAAAAATTTTAACTTTTCAAATTTTTGAGTTAAGCTTAATTCCTTCCCTGTTTCCAAGAAATGTCTGTTAATTGCATTCAATTTCATTCAATTTGTCCGTTTGTTTAAAACTTGTTGTATCTTATATGTGAATTTAAAAATTTTGGAAAAAACGAATTGTATAAGCATTTTCTTTCAGTATATAAATTCTTCGTATCATTTCTTGCGTCCTAGTTGTATTTTTCCAAAATCCCGAAAATGCAACAATTTTAAACATTTCCCACAGGCTACTCTTATTTATACTGACAACAAAATCTGTAAACACAAACCGTTCATCTTAAACTGAGTTTTTGCATATAAATTTTTTCTCTAACATGTTCATTTTAATAAAACAAAATCTCTCGGCTCAATTTTTATTATAGACAAATTTTCAATTTTATAACATCAATATTTGATGTGGTTTCAAAATGATATTTAAAATTATCAAAGGAATGATAAAATTTATCTTGCTTGTGAATAAGAAAAAACAAAACGAGATGGTAAAGAAAAAAAATTGTGGTTAAAAAAACGGAACGGAATGTCATAGGTGGAATTTTCGGTCTTTCATTTTACGCTGACAAATGAAAAATTATTTTATTATTTTTATTCATTCTTTTAGTCATTTTTCCTATTCTTATATGTATGTATATATATAAATTCAGAGAAAACAGCATAATTTATTTCAAATTAACATTTTTACTGATTCCAAAAAATGAAAATGAAAAGATGTAAAAGAAATCTTTAGAGATTTGAAATTATAAGGAAAATAATATTATACAATACACGCAATGTTCCAATTCGATATAAAAATTTCTTTAAATTTCAAAAATTTTTTATCAATATTAAAAACTACATTTAGAATTTTTGCAAAGCAAAGGGAAATGAATTTAATACCTAAACCCCATTTAAGAGTAGTACAAAATTTGGGAGAATATTACGGAAAAATTACCAGAAAAATAGACATGAGAAAGTAAAGAAAAAAAACAAAATTTCGAAAAACAAAAACATATGATTATCATTTAGAAATTTGAATTGTCAAAATGTACGAAATCACGGAAAATCTCATTCTTATGTGGACGATTAAGTGATACGCACTTATCACTTCAATTCACTACATTTTTAATTTTCCTATTTCTGATTATTTTAATTAATTTTAAAAAATTTTAATTTAAGCTTAAGTACATTTTGATTTTTAGTAGACGTAGATTAATAATTCAGAAAAGTTGTAAAACAATACTATAATTTTACCCCAATGCTTTCGATTATGTTTATTATTTGGTATAAATTGTTCTCAATTTATTGTGGATTTTATTTATTTTAAATTCAAATTCAATAAAATTCAAATATTCTATTTTCAATTGTATGTAAATTACAATAAAAATTTCTATTTCAAAATTTTTACAAACTTGAGGCAATATTTTTTTTTATTAATAAATCGAATTGCGTATTTTAAATTTTTTTCTAATAGCTTTAAAAATCACTGGTAAAACGATATCTAAATTTAATTGAAATTGTTAAAATTTATTTAATAAAAATCACTTTTTAATAAAAAAGGTTACTGAAATTGACCCTTATTTTCAATTACAGTATATAGATATTCCTATTACTACTGCATAATAATAGTAATAGGAATTGGAATAACACCGTCGGTTATTATAATCAAATTGATGAAGTAATTAAGGATATAAACTGATATCGAGAATAATCCACATAATAAAAAAATATAGAGTGCAATTTCACATAGAGAATTTTCAAGAGAACGACATATATTTTCTATGTTATAGATAGAGAAATGAAAATAAAATATTTTTAGAGAGATATCCGTTTGTTTGTCTTTCTGTGCATCCAGTTACATGGTTAAATTTCGATTGAACAGAACTTGATGACTTAAGTTTATTTTTAAAATATTATGAATTATTGGGCTATGCCAAGTGTTAGCAACTAAACTTTTGCCATGGACCGAATTTATATATTTGCTAATAAAAATTAATATCCTAAAATTTGACATTCATAAAATTTACAGAAATCATTAACGTGATCATTATGAACAAAATTAAATGACATTCTTTATTTTAAGTGTTCTATCAAAATAATTTATTTTATTTTTGATTATATGGTGAAAAACTAGCTACATATTTGCAGTTTATCACTTATGCACAGTCATAAAACTAAAGCAGAAATTTTAATTTGATATTCAAATATTATTTTAGGAGTAAAGTGAGTTGGACAGAGCAGAAGTGAGTATAATTATATTGGTTAAATATTATAATTATGACATAAATAGTAATAAATAACTCTAGGCTGTATATTTCGTTTTAATATTGTTCAGTTACAAAAAGTTACC